TAAGGAGGAAAAAAATTAGGGTTTTTTTTTTCTTGAAAATGTAATTAAGAGCACACTTATTTAGTTTCAAAAATACCTCAGCAAACACATCTTGCAAAATAATACTAAAGTATTTTAAGTGCGATCACTTTCCACCCCTCATTTTTGTTGTTTTGGTTTTGTAGCCTACTACAGAGGTTCCTAACCACGGTATCATATGGTTTCAAACGTAGCATACTTGTTAAAATCAACTACTTAATTATTTTTGTAATTAATATTTTTATAATAGTATTTTTACTTAAGGCTTAATTCAGTCCAATTGTGTTTATTTCCAACATATCAATGTACATAACCTTACGGTCCTGTGAGTACATTTAGGTTGCTGTCTGCAATGGAGCAATTAGTTGGTCAGTTACTTGGTCATCCGTGTACTGTCGAATTACTTCATGCACAAGAGAGCCAACAATAGTTCTAGAGGTGATTCTGAGGGGTTTCTATTTAGAGTCTTTTGCTTTTGCACTGTCACTGCAAATTTCTGTGACAGTATAGAAATATCTGAACAGATCAGTTAGAGGCAAAGTGCTAAAAGTAAAACTTTAGATGGTTCAATAACTGTTTGGTGTATTGCAGGGTACTTTTTTAATGCCCACCCTGACATAATGCTTTAGTGTGGGATGCTTAACAGTGTAGATTTTCTGGTGTTATTTTTCTCTCAACTTTGTTGTGTAAGGCCTTATTTGGACAGGATTAGTTTTCCATGGGGAGGCGGGCTAATGCCAGTTTATTACAGGAAATCTGCAATGTTTATGACCAACTCGCACAGGATAAGAAACCTTGGTCTAAATGACAGAAATAGGAGTGCCTATTTGATTTATGCGCCAGAAAAGGGTAGAAAACATGTTAAAACAGTTCATTTAGCCATTATTTTATTTACTCTAACCATTTACGTTTGTGTCTGAATGCTATGTGTTATTAGCATCTCCATTAACTTGGGAATTTACAACGAACTGTCAACTTCACTGCATAAAAGCAAACTTTTTTCCATAATTCTTGCGTGTCCTGGGTTGTGCACATGAGACAGTAACATTACATATTGGCTTGATTTTATCCACAGAGAACAACGAGGCTGAAGTTGGCTTCTTATTTGCCACCTACTTGTTTAAATTTTCCCGTTCCACCTTAAATTATGCTCCAGTTACATTCTGGCACTACAGGCATTATAATAATACCTGTGCCATTTAAGGTGGAACAGAAAAATTCAAACAAGAGGCAGGTAAATAAGAAGCTGACCTGACCTTCATCAGAGAAAACAACTAATCACTTCTTTTAGTGACTCCATACTTAAGAAACTCCCTTTCCACATGATATTATAAAATGTTTATCGACATGTGGATTTGCATGGGACTAATTTAACCAGAGGTTATTTCTACAGCTCATTTTATAGAAGGTAAGAGGTGCTGGAATCTTTACTGATGCAGGAGTGCGCAGTCAGTAAAAATGACTGACATGGTGCATTTGTATGGGAATAAAATGACTGAGAAATGCCAGTAATACCCCACCTCCACATGTGAAACTAATCCTGTCCAAACAGGGCTTAAGGAACATTTATAGGATGTTGCATTGTTTTTATGCAAGGGCTTACTGTGAATAACTGAATAAGGTAGTGAGCTTAATAAACCTCATTACTTTAAAAAGGGCATTAGACAGATAGGCCTGTTTGTTATCATAATTTCTGGCATGGACGACATTTGGGGGGGTGCAGGGGGTTGGGGGGGGCATTTACCCCCGTTAAAATGTTCGTCAACTCACTTTTTTCAGAACTATGTAATATGTATAGAGACTGACCTCCATGACACTAGGGGGTAGACTGCAGTTTCAACCATTGAGTTTTCGTGCAATGCAGTGTAATATCGAAAGCATTACAGTCACTGAGTTTAAAATATGCTACAGTCATGAGCCTAGCTAGTAGCACAGTCTCTACTCTGCTAGCAGATAGCGACTTTCAAAAGCTCTGGAACACATCAAACGCTCAAAACAGCTACTGAGGGCCACAGCATGCACAGCATGGAGGAGGTCAGGTGTTGTATCCAATTCAGTTCCCCCTCAAATTCACGTTCCCCTCCCAAGTCAAGTCAAGTCAAGAGGTTTTTATTGTCATTCCGTCTATGTACAAGTACACAGTGGTGTAAAATTACGTTCCTCCAGGAACATGGTGCAACATGGAACAAAAGGGTACAAAGTGCACTACAACTAAATTTAAAATTCTTGTTGAAATTAACACTGGGTCTTTCAAATCCATTAGGCCACAATAGAGTAAAGCACTGTTTAAGTTCCCTTTTTAACTTACCTTCGCCCACTTCGACTCCCCACTCGGATGTGCGTCACTCATATGTTACACAAGTGGCCTCTCGATGCAAAAGAGCAGGAGGGGACTATGAGGAGTGCATTATTTAAACAGAACACCCTCGGCAAGTTAGCCTCAGTGGGCTAAACGGCTAGCCATGCAAACTTTGAAATCCAAATTTTTTTTTAAGACATTTGAGCACAGTGTACATAATGTGTGTAAGTAATTTTTGTCTGGCTTTAAACTTGGAGTAGAACTGTGGCGTAGCGCCTTTCTGTTTAGCTACGTTCACATTACAAGCCTCACTGCTCAAATCCGATTTTTTGCTCAAATCTGATCTCTCTGACAGGATGGTTCACACTCGTTTAGATAAGTAACTCAAATCTGTCATTAATGTGAACGAACCAGGGTCCTGAAATGACCCTCATGCGCACATCCTACTCAGTAACGTCACGTGAATGAATCACTTGCATCATCATCAGCAAACTAACAAGCAGAACGAGCTTCGCTGAGAAGATAAGTAACTCTGATCAGCTCTCAGCTTCATTATTAGAGCTAGACGAAGGCAAAAAAGGTGAGATGTGCTGTTTTTCCACGGTTTACAGGCTTTAACTTCTGTTCGGCACTGCTGCCATGGTAACGCTGAATGATGGCGCAGAGGAAAAAAGCACATGAATTCTGATCTGAGTGTTCACATTAAGGTCGCATGGCTACAAACCGGATATGTGTCTGATCTAGGACCACATATGAAAGTGGCTCAGAAAAGATCAGATTTGTGTCCACACAGCCCTGAAAACATCAGATCTGAGTCACATTAGGGCAAAAAATTGGATTAGTGCCACTTCAACCTGGTAATGTGAGCGTAGCCTTTGTGCTTCTTAGCTGTGTAGCCTTTAGCATGCTAACAATACAGCTAACAGAGCAAAGTGATGGAGTGGTATCAGCAGCCATGGAGTAGTTTGTAACCTGAAGCCAAATAAATCGAATGACATGGTTTTGAAATGTTAAGCATTTTTACATAATTTGTTGCTATAGCTTTGCAGAAATGTACTGCTTGTAATGTGTTTAGTGCTGTGTTGTACGTCATTGTGTTCGGTATTGTGTGTCCCTGTACTGTGATTGTATTTAGAACATTCTGTTCTGTCTAATTTTGTTCATCCCTACATGGTCATGTCTGTCACACCTGTCACTTGTCATGTATAGGCTGGGCCTAATCTTGGCATCAATCCAGCTACAAAACTGCATCAGTCCATTGTTTTATGGGCTGGCTAGGTGTCTGGTACCTGTGTGCAAGAATAAACTTTAATTCTCCAGACGTATGGCTAGTTCTCTGGTTTGGGACAGGGGTTTGGATTCTTCAGCTTGTAAATGCTAAGCTTTGTCTGCCATTATTTTGGGGTCTTAAAAAGGAAATGCGTCAGGTCGCAATGATTTCTGGGCAAGTTCTGCCGCTGAAGTTAACAATGGTGTTTGCTCGATCCCTCACCTCCCTGAGGGCTCATCTCACACCCTTCACTTCAGCTAATGACGTAATGAAACAGCTCTTAAGATGGCGCTGGGATTCCCCTGAGGACGACTGATGAGTCCAAGTGGATGAGGGCTTGTTAAAACTGGTATTGAAATGGGGTAGGTTCCCCACTGTCTCTGACTTACTAAGTAAAATTTGCAGTATTTTGCATACAGCTAAAGTGTCTCAATGGTGGTTTATTTTAGAAAAGTCTGTTGTAACAATGGAAAATGCCTTTGGGGCAATATATTCCACACCTAAGAAAATATTATGCTAATTGTTTTTAGATATCGCCCAGGCCTAAATTGTATGCAGTCATCCGCTGGGAGTTTCAATCAAAAGAAAAATAGTTATTCAGGAGAAACAGAAAGAAAGAGAAAGAGAGAAGAAAGAGTTTGTGGTAATATAATGCATGCTAATACCTGATGGAACAGAAATTTGTCCTGGACATTAACAATTTTGCCTGATCTTTTTTGAGATGCAAGAGAGACTCTAGTGCTAAAATTACTAACTGGCTTTTAGATATTCAGCTCTTTGTTGAGTACAACTGAACTGCTAAGTGCAAAACTCTAGAATGGTTGTTAATTTGGCCATGAATAGTTTAGAACATCAATGCACTTTTCTTTTAGTACATTTTTTCCAGTTTTAGGAAATTCTACCTATATATATATATATATATAATATATATATATATATATATGAATAAACATACAATCGTATTTACCTGTGTTGGGGCAAATGCTGTCTATTAGCCTTATTTGAAAGTGATGTTAGGAGCTTGTGGTTTTCACAACTTTTCAGGAAGTGTATGGACATATCCTGTGTTCAACAGGTCATTTCCAAGACTCGTTAATCTCAATAACACCTTTGAAAAATTGCATGTTTTTTACGTTTTTAAAAAATTGCATGTTTTTTACAATTTTAGGGTTTAAAATGAAAGGTATAACTTAAAGCCTTTTTTTAAATGTTATAATTCTTATGATGTGACATTCTCATGCTATGTGGATTCATATTGCACTTTGCACATGAACAGCCCACTTCCTCTAGTCTACCTCTAATTGTATTTAGCGCAGATTTTTTTTCTGTGCATGAAGGTTCTCTCACGTAGTCACAGCCAGCTTCTTGCACACCATCACCATCATTACTTCTATCGATCTCATTCTTTTTTCCATGGCTAGTAATGCTAGATGGGAGTATGTACCTCTTGAAGTACTCATCGCTGTAGGATGTTGCCTGGGCAATGGGCTGGTGATCTGGGCAGTGTGGACATGTGGAGCCCTCAGGCAGCCCACCTTCTGCTTCATTGCATCCCTCGCAGTGGCTGATTTCCTGGTGGGGTCTGTTGCCATCCCACTGGCTGTGTTGGTGGACATCCATATGAAGACCTCCTTTCATGGATGCCTTTTCATGTGCTGTGTTCTGCTAATGCTGCAAATGGCTTCTGTCGTCTTACTCCTGGCCATTGCAATAGACCGTTGTCTTCGTGTGCGCATCCCCCTCACGTGAGTTGAATTATTTCATATTTGGATTCACTCTTTGTGCAGCATGGTGTTCCTTGGTTTTTCATTACAATCATGAAGCCAAAGAAATACAATAAGTTCACCATTTCTCTCAATCCTTTCATTTTTTTTTTTAAGAATCAGAAAGTCATTTGTGAAATTGCCTATTTTTATTTATTTATGTTCTTCTCCAGGTATAAGTCTACAGTCACTCAAAAACGCTCTTGGATCCTGGTTGCACTCTGCTGGTTCACTGCTGCTGTATGGGGTTTTATCCCCATGTTCGGATGGCACAATTATAATGTTGTGAATGGTACCTATGCGAACTCTACCAGTTTTGAATGTGGCTTCTTAACTGTTATTTCCACTTCATATCTAGTAAACTTCATATTCTTCAGCTCTTTACTTCCTCCATTGGCTGTCATGACAGGCTTGTATTGTTACATCTTCCTGACCACTAGAAGGCAGTTAAGAGCAAATATAGGCACAGCTGCCGAGTCCAGGTCATACTACCAAAAAGAACACAGACTGGCTGTTTCACTGGTTCTGGTCTTGGGTCTCTTTGCTGTCTGTTGGCTCCCTCTGTTCCTCATGCACAGTGTGCATTACTATGGTCATAATATTGAGGTGCCCTCTGTTGCCATTGATATAGGTGTCCTCCTGTCTCATGCTAATTCAGCAGTTAACCCCATAGTGTATGCGTTTAAGATCCCCAAGATAAAAGAGGCGTGTAGGAAGCTGTGGAGAAGAGTTTATCATGACAGAGAAAAGCAGCAGAGTGAACAGAACAACACACAGAATAATACAGACAGAAACACAAACAGCAATGCAGAAAACACCGGAACAAAAGACAACAGTACAGAAAACAGAAGTGCTACACAGGACTTAGTGTTATAAATAAAACTCTGCTGCAACCAAGATGCAAAAAAAATAACCAAAAAATACATCTAACTAAATCACATGTCCGACTTCAGCCCTGTCGGGCCACAACACCTAGAATTTTACTTTGTGAAGCACACCTGATTCAACTTCTCAGCTAATAAGCAAGGCTTTGGTGAGTTGAATTTAGAGTGTTAGAAGAGGGAAAATGCTGTCTCTGCAGAGCTGTGGCCTGACAGAAGCTGAGTTTGACACCTCTGTTCTAATTGGTTAAGAAAAAAAAATATTATTGAATCTTAAACAGAACTCCAGTACAGTCACCCCAGGACTGGCTCTGAGTCTTTTGGCACAGAGTGTGGTGAACATGTGTATTGTTTAGTCTGCTCTTGTAGTCTTTCCAGGCAAAGGTATTTTTTAGTAAAGAACACGAGACCGACAGTTATATTGATTTCTGATCGAGGGTTCAGTAGTTGCACAAAAATGATGCTTGTATTTTGAAATATGTGCAATAAGGCTTAAAGAAAATAAAAAGAAAAAAAAGAAAATCAGTATATGAAGCTTCCACAGTCTTAACCAGTGGACAATATTTTTACAGTATTACCCTTTTTTTGCAATTTTTAAGCCAACTTGTATAATGTATTCTTTTTTTTGTTCATGTTTTCTTCAGCTTTCTTTGTGCTAACATTTGTGTTGGTGATGCGTTTTTTTTTTTAAAGCAGGCATTGGGCTCTGTTGTTTTCTTTAGCAGTTCATTAATTTTGATGAGAGGCTGCAGTTACAGTCTTCTGCCAGCAGGACGTCTCCGAATACCGCACTGACTCCAGGCCACTGTGCAGCAGCTGAGAGACCATTGTGTGAGCAGAGATTTCTTTCTTAAGCTGTCACTTGGTCTCAGATGTATGTGGAGCCAATTTCAAAGACACAATGCTATGAATGTATGTATATTTATATATATACATATACGTTTTAATTTCTTAACAGTTACTGTGATCTTAAGGGCTGTGGAAAGTAGCAGAGAAGTCAAAAAGTAGAGAATTCCAATTGATTTGGATGATAGAATAGTAATTACATTATAATAACAACTGGGTTAATATTATTTGTTTCTTTTCATCCTTTTGAAAAGCCTATTGGGCTCATATTCACTCCTCGTTATAAAAACTTCTGTCATTTGAGAAAACAGAACATTTCAAATGACAAATAAAGAGTCTCTAGCAGGAATAGACACAAACACAGCAAAGCATATTGTATTACATGTTTATTTTAAATAAAAAAGACAGTGCTGAAAAAATAACAGCACATGTGTATGAATATTTATCAAGTCACATCATCCATTAAAATCATTGTACCTGTCATTCGTGGTTCACAGCTGTTTGATGGATGCCTGAGCAATCACTGAAGCTCTTGCCCTTTCTCTCTTCAGTTGTGTTGTTGTGTCTCGCAAGGAAGGCAATAGACTGTATAGTTATCACCGCAATAGGATGTCGTTCCTCCCACAAACTATACAACCTACTACCTCACCTCGTGGGAACACATTTCCAGATGGATAGAGCTCCTGATACTTGCTACAAACAAAACTTCAGCACAATTAATTCCCTTTTTTTCTTTTGAAATCAAAAGCCCCAGGTGTAAGTTTGTGTCCAAGCTGGGTCAGCATGGTGTCCTGTCGTCCAAGAGCAGGCCGTAGATCAGACTGTCTCCTTAGGAAAGACAGTAGATTGTATAGTTATCTCAGAGGGAGGACTAATACCCCACAACTATTCAATCTACTACCTCAGCCTTAAGGACAGTAGCTAACGCTCCAAGGCTTTGTTCTCACCTTAAGAGTCTGGATGAAGGAAAAGAAAGGATAGATGTAAAGGGCATAGTGTTCAGTGTATTTTCTTGTTGGTGTACAAACAAGAAAGGTAAAGTGCAAAAAATAAATATACATAGAGAATTGTACATTTATAAAAGTATAATAATACCTCTTTCTTAATAATATAATAACAGATGTGTTATAACTACTTAAAATGGGTTAAAATACACACAGGAAAAAACAAAAGGAAGACAAGTGATTTTCAAAGAGTTGAAGAGAGAAGGCACACATAGTAATCTCCGGCTTAATGGCAGGTCAGGTCTGCATCCTTACTTCTGAATGACACTTCTCTAAAGAGTCAAGTGAGGGAATCTGGTAGCAGTTTTACAGCGAATTACCTTGAGGGAGCAATTTCCTCTCTGCTCTTTTGGCTTGGCTTTATAAACCTGGTGTAGTTTCAAAACAGGCACTCCTGGGTGAAAGCTCATTCAACACTCGCTTCAAGCTGTGATCTTGTTGCAGACTTGTGGCCGGTCAGTGGTCGGTTCATGACATTCATCTAAATTCACGCACTGCATTGCAGGGGCGGAGCAAGGAAATGGAAGTGTTTATTATCAAGCCCGGGTCCCTTTTGTATGTGTTTTTCTTTATAAGACAAAATAATCGGCAGCCACAATACAATCACAACGGAAAGTGTGCTAATTTGTGTAAGCCTTATGCATAACTCCCTGGCATTCAGTGTGGTTGGCACGTATTTCGGGTAATCTGCGCCAGGAAATAGTGCCCATTTTCTGCAAAAACTTGGCTCTTTTCAGCCCATAGAAGCCTGTGGAAGCTTGCTGTTTAACAGGCAGAGGTAAGTAGCTGAATTTAAACATGGTTTCCTCAGCTGTCCCAGCCCTTTAACCTCCACGAAGTGTCTCATATCGACAGTTAGCATCGCATGAATAGGGAGGGAAAGAACCCAAACAAAATGGCCGCCCTTCTGCCATTTTAGGTAACAGAGTTTGGCTCTCGCATGTAAAAACATCTGTGATGGGAGAGAACTTTCAAACCTCTACAGACCAGTTTAATGGTTTTATGCAATCTAGTTCAATGACTCAAGGAAATAAACATGAGGCGGGCTTGCAAGTTATACTGTGGACTCCATCTTATGGCCATTAATCATTCACAAACCACAATGACAACATATTTGCCATTGAAGGGAAATTAAAGTTTCAGCTGAAGTGAAATGAACCAAAGTGCACGTCTGTCATTTTGCAACACGCTTAGGACTGAAATGACTGATACGTTTGATCATGTAAATGATCCTGCAGATTGCAGATATGATAACTAGCTCATAATGATTTAAAACAAAACCCCGATCTCATGGTATTAACCATGCGTCTGCAGTGGCAGCTGAGGCAGGCGGACAATGCCAGGCCCTGGCATGAAGCTGTGCCTGAGAGGCTGGCAGACGAGGGTCATGGGGGCAGGCCAAACAATCCACGGCCATGCAAAGGGGAGGGGGTGGAGCAGTTGCCCTCTCGTTTTGCATAAATTAGCATGTGAACCAACGACAGTGAAAAGCACCACGGTAGCTCATTAACATTCAGGATTCTTCTTTGGCCTAATTAATGGCGACAGTGATTGAAATGTTTTGGCATGGCAGTTGGCCGAGCTAAAGGCAGCTTCTAGTGGATAGGATGGAAGGAACAGCATGGTTGTTGTGGGGGGGTGGTGGTGGTGAAGGAGTAGAAGCCCCTTAATTGAGACGTTGACTCAATTAGATGGTGAATGGTATCCGGGTTGTAAATAGGTAAGATGCTAAGCTGGCGACTGGTTTAACTGGAAAGTTGAGGCAAGAACAGCCCTGAAGAGTTTATGGTGTTTTGGACAGTCACTATTCAGTGCAGTGTATGTCTGAAGGAAGGATATTTTAGCAGTTTTAGGTCAAAAGCATATCTGTGTGTTCAACTTCATTTATAGAGGTGGTGCAAAAGTTATTTTTAGGATTTGCTAATGATACTACAGTATTTTTGTGACATCTCCTCAAGTAGTATCATGCAGTTATTTTTCCAAAGGTACGCTAAAGGATTTTCGCTCAAGGAACTTTGCATTGATTCACAATTTCTGTGGCCTCTCGATGTAACCCTTATTTTCATTTCGTTTTGCATCTCAAATGAATTATTTGTTGTTGTATCATTGTATATGGTCCGTGTCTCTCTGAAGCCCACGGGCTATTGAACGCAGTAATGCCTATGTCAACATGTGCCTCAGTCTTCTTGGCTTGTGAGAGACCATGTGCAGAGGCGCAATATGCCTTGCGACACAAACGCTAACTCTACTATTAGAACAGCTGTTATTCTTTTCAAAAGCTTGACATATCCAGAATTATTAGGAATGGATGTATAGCATTTTGGAATGAAACTGTTCATATTTTGATCTGCTAAGCTACACCAGTGGAAAAAGCAAAACGTAATAACTTGGCAGTGAAATGCTATCACTTGGCAGCTTTTTCCTGCACCAACTACAATGTAGTAACTGCTAAAGTGGGCCCTTTCAGTACTGTTTCCAGTTTCACAGCTTTGGGTTTATAAAAAAAACACTTCAAATGACCTTGATTAGGGAAACAACATGAGATAAGCAGTTATTTTCGAGTGGGCTTTTACAGCCACACTGTTAGAGACTTGAGGGTTCTTAAGGGTGCTAAAATGTTTATTAGTTCTTTCTTATCGGTGCTCAAAAGAAGCAAATAAAGTCCTGACGTTGAGATCAACAGATTTATGAGTTTTGTTGTGTCCCTGACAATAGTTGAACTTTACCATTCATGCTCAGATGCAATAAACAAATCCAGTACCTCTCCCTTCGAAATAGCTGCACGAGCGAGAAGAGCCGAGGAACTGGACAGAGATTTGGATTATCCTGGAACAAAAGTTTGGGTTGCTAAATAAGCAATGCTGAACTTTGCTGTGACACAGCAAACACAGTAAATATATGCTTGTATAATGGCTTACGCTTAGAGTGCTCAGATGTTGAATAAAAGTATTAACCTACCTCGTTAGAATTCACTGTGATCTGCTGAAACTGATAAGCAAACAGCTTGAACATTCAAAAGTATCCTTGCTATTCAAAAGTATCCTTTTCTTTAATTTCTCATCTTCACAGCTGTTGATATCCAGGGCGGAATCTACTACTTCCTTCAGAGAATATGACAGTACAACGTGACATTAGTCCGTTGGTG